CAGCACGCCTCCATCGACTGTGGACGTGTGCAATACATGCTAGGAAAGACTCCAACTTCAGAGTGACTGAGCACCGGTGGCTGTTGCTTTTGGCAGCCGACAAGCCTGATCACTATTGGCACAACTCAGCCATGTCATACTCCTCATTAGGTTTGGCTGCTAACTTCCATTACTGTAGGGATCGTCAATTTCAAATTATGGACGCCATATCAGGTGAACAACGGTGGAAAGGAAAACTTCTGGCAACATTCGTAGAATGCTCGCAGGGTATGTTGTACCACCCACCACTTTGACTCATTGACTGCCGCTGTCACACGATTAGAGTAACCCAAAGTTTAAAGACACATGGTACCTCTAACACATTGAGGGTGCATGAGACTATCAGCCCCCAGATGTCGATTTGTCGTGGACCCCGCCCAAAACTGCACGGGGTCAGAGTAGGAAAGTCGTAATTCCTTGCTACACCGCCCGTTTCGCAAACTCACGTTTTTACTAACACCGTTCGCGCGGCGCGGTCGCGTGCAGCTTTCTTGGCTTTTTGCCAAGTCCTGTAATTGCGCTTATGTACAACGCAATTTCTTTATGCGGATAACATTTTAGGTGCTGCAAAATAAGAACCGAAGATGATGACGAGGGCTAGAACTCAAGAGCAACTGTGGTGCTTCTGCAATATCCCTCAGAGGCCGCGCATTCCCACAGAACATGACAAAACGGCCTAAGCGTCCCACTCGTTAGTTTGAAGTATTTCTATAGCTTTAGAGCCGGATTCGAGCCGGATCGCAGAAATGCACACGCGATTTTAATTTATTGCGTTTCCTTAGTTTTTTCAATTTTGTTTTATTTACATCTACATTCGTTGTTCTTCATTTCTAGCCTTTGTCATCTTCATCACCTTCTATTCGGACTTTGAAGCATGAGCAATACCTCAAATGTTAGGAAATTGCGTTTTGCTTGTATTGTCATGTTTTGTGGGAATGCGCGGCCTGAGGGATATTGCAGAAGCACCACAGTTGCTCTTGAGTTCTAGCCCTCGTCATCATCTTCGGTTCTTATTTTGCAGCACCTAAAATGTTATCCGCATAAAGAAATTGCGTTGTACTTGTATTCCAAAGCGCAATTACAGGACTTGGCAAAAAGCCAAGAGAGCTGCACGCGACCGCGCCGCGCGGACGGTGTTAGTAAAAACGTGAGTTTGCGAAACGGGCGGCGTAGCAAGGAATTACGACTTTCCCACGGCCCCGTACTCTGACCCCGTGCAGTTTTGGGCGGGGGACCACGACACATCGACAGCTGGGGCTGATAGTCTCATACACCCTCAATGTGTTTGAGCGTACCATGTGTCTTTCAATGTAACGAGACTGCATCTTCCGGGAGGAGTTAGCGTAGCATGGTAGCTGAGCAGTTCTTTTTGGTATCCGATCCTTCTTCCGCATGTGAAGTGGGTCCCGGTGAGGAGTTTTCCATGAGTAGGAGGGCCAGCCTTCGGCCGGCTTCGCCGGGCGAATGGTTGAAAAAAATATTATTCTGAGAATTACCGCACTTTACCGTTTCACAACTTCATCTGACGAACCACTGCTCAGTTTCACCTCTCCATTTTGTGTGGTTTTTCGTATGCGTTTTGAGGATTTTTGCCCTCGGCACCGTTCACTTTGGCGAACGCCCACCCGTCAGGAGTGTGCTTCACTGATTTCGACTGCCAACAATTGCCTATCGTTTGCCACTTTTTCCGCTCTCGGGCTCTTTTGGAACCGAACTGCGAATTTTTGAAATTTGTAGCCTCACAACTGTGCGCACGCCCGCCACAGTGGGACGGAGCCTAGATTAAGTTCATGTGATGTTTCCGTACATCTTAGGCATGCCCTAACCCAACCACACTTGAGTCGCCCCTCAAACCCTGGTCGGCTCTTCAGGTTGAATTCGCGAATTTTCCGGACAGCAACGGACGTTGGCCGTTTATGTATAGTAGGATTTTTACCCCTACAGAAGTCTAAAAATTAAGGAAATTCTACTCGCAGATGCATGTTTTGCTGATAGTGTACATTTGCGAGGTTATTAGTAGCTTCGTGTGCGCTTGATCTGGTGTGTATGTATGTGTGCTGTGTCTTCCAAAGAGGTCTGCATCTCACTGCTGCCTACAAAGCAAGTTAGCAGAGATTTCATAGACACTCATGCAAATCTCGCCCCCCCTCACGACAGCAGATTTGCTAGGTATTCACTTTTACTTTTTTTCGCTGTACAGAGCTGACATCATGAATACATTTATTGTATTGACTTTGAAGTTTTTAATATCCAGGAGCAGTGCGAGGGGGAGGGCAGTGATCGCAACCTCCTGGTGCTCCATGGTCTCCATCTTCTCCGTGATGTCCGTCATGTCCATGATTTCCTGGTTTACCAGGTTTTCCGTCGTCTCCATGTTCTCCTTGATGACCATCATCACCAGGCTTTCCGGGTGCTCCTGGATGACCATCAGGTCCTGGAGGTCCTGGAGGTCCGGGTGGTCCAGGTGGTCCCTGTGCACCAGGCACCGTGGTGAGTGTTCCTGGAGCTCCTGGCGCTCCAGGATTTCCAGGGTGGCCGTCATTTCCGGGTGGTCCTGGTGGTCCCATGGGACCTGCACCTCCTGGGTGTCCGTCTTTCCCTGGCTCTCCGTCAGATCCAGGATTTCCTGGTGCTCCCTTGCCTCCCGGGTTTCCAGGTGGACCTGGAGGACCAGCAGGACAATTGAAGCAAGGATAGACTTCCGGCGCTGGTGTCATTGGTGGTCCATCAGGTCCATCTTTACCAGGTTGACCTGGCTGGCCATCCGATCCAGGTTGTCCATCTTGTCCAGGTGGTCCTGGTGGTCCTGCAGGGGAGACACCACATCCACAGCATCCACCACCGCCACCACCACTACTGTAGCCGGCCTGACGCGTTTTCCTGGAGGCTAGTACCTAAACACATGCATTTGCTGGACTCAATTAGAGCTCCATAGAAATTTCAGAAGTGTTTCAAATTTACCTGAGTGCGTGTGACTTCTCTCCAGATGTTTCCAGAGCGTGATTTGCAGAAGTCGACTTCGTTCTGCATTACAGACTGCATGTGCTGCATGTAGTTGTAGAGCATTGGAACAGAAATCACACAGACCAGCGTAGCAATGGTGGAGAGAGTGACGCCGACGAAGGCGAACCTCCTTAGAGAATGCGCCTCAGCTTCCCAGTTCTTCTCGTTGTAAGACATGGTGGTGGTAGCAATCGCAACAGTGTAGCTCCTTTTATACGATTTCGGTGGCCGCGATATTTGTCTACATGGGCAATCAAAATGCGGCAGTTTTGAGTTCAACACTTGCAATGAAGGCCGTGACTAGATAAAATCGGACTGAATTCCGTTAACTCTGAGTTAATCGGTTTTGAGTGTGTTCAGTAGAATTAGTAAAACAAACTGAGAATGCCCGATTCTGGAAAGAAGAATTCAATGGCGCGATCAGGGGGGGGAGATCATGCGAAGCCACATATGAAGGTCCAGAACAGCCCTATGAACCCTATGCTCGTCTCCTAACTCTGTCTGAGCCTCTGCTGTGTAAAAAAAAGTCATTCAAATGAATTACTACCACCTAGTCGCACCTTAACTTATGGGGGGCGGGGGGTGTTTATGTTTTGCTGTCTTTGTCCTGCGTTTGCAGACTTTCACACCGTCGTAAAAACCCTGTTCTTGTTGCATTCGCATTTTTATGTCTTGGACCAAAACTCGTGGGCGAAATATCGAAAATGATCGTATTGCTGGCATCTCAGTTGCGGTTTATGTGGGAGGCCATCGGACTCAGAAGCGAAACTCGCTGAGACAGGAGTTTTCTTACTAATTACACAGTGTGACAAGCGTTGAGACACCTTGTTAACACTTATAGAGGCAATATGTCGAATCTGTGGTGAAACAGGAGCAGCCATCGACTGTTTCAAGCTCTTATTGTAGGTTAGAAGGTCTCGTGTTTGGGTATTACACAAACAAGTGGCCGGGAACACTGAATTTAACTTTCAACAGTAGAAACTTTGATTCTGGCGGATTCGTTGGTGAAGTGACCCTGGTCCTGAAAGTCACCGATACATTAACAATATTTCTCCATTAGTAATGCACGCCGGCCTTTCGGGAAGAAGGCAGCTTCCTCCCGTGTATATAAGACCTTTTTGCCTGTGTTCTTCCTCGTCCTCGTCCTTGTTCAGTAAGCAATTGACTGCTGGAAATTACAGTACTGAAGAAACTGGACAGACTTCCAGGATGGTATTTTCACCTGTATCAACGATATAATGCAATTTTTTGCTAATAAAGCTTCCGCAGTAAATAGAAACGAAGCAGAGGAGCAGAGGAGTGATACAAGACTTCTTGTTTTAGCGATGAACATCTTCTGGCTGAATTACACAGGTTGGGGACTCGGTCACTTATGATCAGAATGTTAACTCTGGGTGTTGAAGAGTGTCCATGTACTTCGTCCACTGTGTGGAGTATTTTCAGTTTTTAGAAACAACATTCTTCCCATACTCTAGGGAGACAAAGTTTCCACTGTTATTACCCTAAAATCCCATAGATAAGAGCGGTCCATAGATAAGGGCGGTTTGTGCTAGTTGTTGTGAAATAAACTTTTAAAAATGTTTATTTAAAATCATTTTTTACCGGTAAATAACACCGCTCTTATCTATGGAATTTTACTGATCGAATGGGCTCTTCAAGTTCTATCCAGAAATCAGATTCCGGCATTTCTAGAGAGATTCCGGCAGAAATTCCGTTAAAATCGCTATTTTTCTATATGAATTGTTTATTAAGTGGCTGGTTTGGATTTCGACGGCGTAGCTTCTCCAGTCTAAATTCTCTCCTCCGATTTTTATTATCTACACCTTCATCAAGTCTAGAGCGGGTGCTGCTTCTCAACGATTACCATTCATTCCAATTCATTTTTCACCGCTCAATCAAAACCGCTCTCTATCATATCTCCTCACAGTTAGTATGAGCATTCCTACCTGTTCTGCGCGCAGAACGGCTCCAGAGCACACTAAAAACCTAAAGAAATATTTCCTGTTCACGCTAAGAGCGTGTATCTGGGCTAATGATTGTAGTGGTGTTAGTGTCAGGTACGATGTTATATGCACGTCCACTGTAGACGTGCAATCTACTAGGTTTCACTTTAGGTCACGGTACCCTTGCCGTGATACTGAAGTTTGATTCTTGTCTCTGCTTCTCTCCCTACAACGCCACTGCAGCGAATAGTTTCCGGCGGCGAGAACAGCACGCCTCCATCGACTGTGGACGTGTGCAATACATGCTAGGAAAGACTCCAACTTCAGAGTGACTGAGCACCGGTGGCTGTTGCTTTTGGCAGCCGACAAGCCTGATCACTATTGGCACAACTCAGCCATGTCATACTCCTCATTAGGTTTGGCTGCTAACTTCCATTACTGTAGGGATCGTCAATTTCAAATTATGGACGCCATATCAGGTGAAACAACGGTGGAAAGGAAAACTTCTGGCAACATTCGTAGAATGCTCGCAGGGTATGTTGTACCACCCACCACTTTGACTCATTGACTGCCGCTGTCACACGATTAGAGTAACCCAAAGTTTAAAGACACATGGTACGCTCAAACACATTGAGGGTGTATGAGACTATCAGCCCCCAGCTGTCGATGTGTCGTGGTCCCCCGCCCAAAACTGCACGGGGTCAGAGTACGGGGCCGTGGGAAAGTCGTAATTCCTTGCTACACCGCCCTCACGTTTATGCTAACACCATCCGCGCGGCGCGGTCGCGTGCAGCTCTCTTGGCTTTTTGCCAAGTCCTGTAATTGCGCTTTGTACAACGCAATTTCTTTATGCGGATAACATTTTAGGTGCTGCAAAATAAGAACCGAAGATGATGACGAGGGCTAGAACTCAAGAGCAACTGTGGTGCTTCTGCAATATCCCTCAGAGGCCGCGCATTCCCACAGAACATGACAAAACGGCCTAAGCGTCCCACTCGTTAGTTTGAAGTATTTCTATAGCTTTAGAGCCGGATTCGAGCCGGATCGCAGAAATGCACACGCGATTTTAATTTATTGCGTTTCCTTAGTTTTTTCAATTTTGTTTTATTTACATCTACATTCGTTGTTGTTCATTTCTAGCCTTTGTCATCTTCATCACCTTCTATTC